TTTGTCCAAAATCTCATAACTACTATACGACATTTCTATGACCCATGATTGAGCCTATGTCCAAAGCAAATAGTTTTCCTACCATGCATTTCTGGCAAACCAGCATTTAATTTAGGTAATATTTAAGTACCTTTGCCTTATGGAGAGCAAGTAAGCTTTGACCCATCCATTCATTGTTGAGGTCTTTAGTTAAACACCAGATCCTCAGCCTCTCTCTACTTTTGACCCAGAACTTCTAAGCTGGGGTGGTTGGGGCCACTAATTTCAGGGCAGTGCTAGAAGAGCTTCAGGAGCTATGGGAACCCAAAGGAGGACGCCAGTCTGGGCTGTCAGAAAGGATTCTGAGGACAGGTAAACCCCATCTGGGAGTCTGGTAATCTGAGATCCAGGAATTAGAAAAAGGAGTCATCCTACAGGATCAGAATGGAGCCTGCCCTTCTGGGATGGGAACTCCAGACCCCTGGGAATATTACCTGCCTTACACATCAGCAACATTTGTATAGGACTTCTGAGGAGAGTCTTACTGAAACTTTCCTCTGATTTGGGGGTCAGGTGGAAGTACATTTAAGGGGAACCAGGTGGACAGCCAGGAACTTTGATAATTCCCAGAGGGCTCAGCTGAGCATCTCACACGAGAATCATAATCTTCCTAGCTGTGTCTGCATAGTCCTTGGCTCATTTCAGATCATTTTCAGTTGCAGTCAGTCTACCTTTCCTCATTCTATAGATGGAGAAATAGGCTCAGAGCAGTGAAGTGACTTGCCATGGCCTCCATTCTGGCATGGCTTTAACCATAGCAAGCATCAGTGAGGAACTAGTTTGTGCAGCTGTCATCTGCATGCCTTGGTTTTTCAAACAGTGCATTTTATGCATCTTTTGCATGTTGCCGGAAGTCAGGGACTCAGAGGGAAGAACACATCCTCTGCAATAAAAGTGGTACCGTGCCATGGGGGCATGGAGCCCAGCCCCTGGATTTGGGGAGCCCCACTAGGACCCAGCAGTGCTAGGGTGTGCCCCAAAGAGTGAAGGCCCTGAGAAGAGAGAGGGTGAAGGGGGCAGGTGCACTTCCCATAGAGGCTTGGGGCAGGCCCCGGACTGTGCTTCTCCCTACTTACTGGGGCAGTACCACTTTGTGCCTTGTGGCAAACAGGTTCTGGTTAATGGAACCTCTGGAGAGGGTGGTAGGTGGAGTAGATGAAGTGACATAGGGAAGGAGATGGCCCAGAATCTCTCTAGGATCTTGAGCATCCCAGGCCTGTGAAGGTGTCTGGGCCATGCAAATCTGCCAGAATTCTGGTTCTAAAAGGAGTTTTAACATTAGAGTTCGAAATCAGAGGCACTTCAGAAAGCACCTCCTATTGCCAGCTCCCAGCTTCCCAGTCTTCCTTCTCTTGAAGGCAGAAAGGTGCTGAGAAGGGAACTATTCCTCTATGGACTGAAGGCAGAGAGGGATTCATTCATTCATTTAATAACTGCCTAATAAATAATACCCAGCACTTCTTGAGTGTTTACTATATGTCAGACATAGAGAAGGACTTTACATGAATTGCATTATTGAATCCTCACAATGATGCAATGAAAGTTTTACTTTTACCCACGTTACATGTCATAAATATAGGACTCCAGCTCAGCTCAGCTTCCACACTAGTAGCCCTGCTCAGCCCAGGCCCTATGACCAGAGGTGCTGAGGACACTTGCAGGGGCTGCCAAACATTTGACTGGCAGTGAGAACACAGTGTAGTCCATCCTGGAGGGTAAAGGAGGCTGTAGGTGCACAGAAGGGAGTGAAAGAGGAGTCTTTCAAACAGTGAGAGAAGTGCTCCCTTCCTCCACCCTTGTGCCCCCCACCCCAGAGGCCAGTTCAGGGAACTGGATAGGGAAAGTGGCCTCAACCCCATTTCCAAATCTCCAACAGCTCTCTTCTGAAGATGCAAAGAACAGTTCTCACCCCTTCCCCCACTAGCTGTATGCCCCTGGGAAAGTCACCTGCTCTCTATACCTCAGTTTCCTCTGGTATAAATTAGAGGTGAAGATGGGTAACTATGTGGCTTCAGAGAGGGTAGAATGCAGAGGTACTTGGAAAGTTTTCAGAGTCAGTGTGTGCCTCCTGTGCCTCTGACAAAATATCTGAGGCTGGGTGTAAAGAGTGAGAAGAAGTTCTCCAGGTAGCTGAATGTCTTGGGACTGGGAATCTGTAGAAGGCAGGCATTTGTGCATCAGTGCCGCAGCAAGCCTGGAGTCCCCACTCCTAATCGCAGCTGGCAGTCTGCTTGTGAGCCAGCTCCTCCACCCTGACCCTGCCAGGAAGGGGTTATGTTGGGCTCTGCACCAACTAGTATTGAGCTCCAAGTTGAAGAAGGATGGACCAGGCAGGCCCTGAGCCAGTCAGGTTGCTAAAAACTCCCTGGTCCACACACAGCCTAGGAGACTGCGCATTTTAGCAGGAAATGTGAGGGGTGGGGGAAGAAGTCTGAGTAGAAGAACTCTTTGAGGGAAAACTGCCAACGTACGCACGCGTGTGTGTGTGTGTGTGTGTGTGTGTGTGTGTGTGTGTGTGTCTTCCCCCTCCCAGGCCTGTACCTCTTATCTCCAGTTTGGTCGATGGTCCCAAGGATACAGGCTGGGAATCGGCTGAGAGTAGGTGGCTGCCGAGGTGAAGGTCACTTGCCCCACTATTGAGGAGGGAGTCTGGACCCAAACCCAGGCTGACCCAGCCAGAAGCCAGTCTAAATGCCTCTCCTCTCTACAGTCTCCTTTTCCCCCAGGTAGTGGTCTCACTCCAGGGTGGCCAGGAGGCGAGCCCAGAGAGGGCTGGCGACTCGCTTACGGTCACACCACGCGCGGCGGAAGCTCCGTATCTGGGTGGCGCATCAGCCCAAGAGCTGATTCTCGGAATCACTGTCTCAAGGGGTCCTGACGGGAGATGGAAATCAGAAGGATGGCCCAAAGAAGACTATGTAGCTGGGGCACGCCATCCACAAAGCCCCAGGAAGACCTGCAAATCACTTCTACATCTTCAAGCCTCCCTCTTCCTGCTCATTTCCAGGTCCTTCTAAACTCAGCTGGGTGGCAAAACTGCAAAAACTAACTTAAAAATTGTTAATGGGAGAGAGGTCACAAAGGAGGCCGGTTCCAAGATAAATATACTATATTGGTAACTTTCTTATGCTCCTGTCATAACCAGTTAAACGCTGTAATGGGTGAAAAGATTCTATTTACAATAGCTACATAAAATACGAAGTGTGAATATATGTTTAAGAAACAGAATTGTTGAGAAAAAATGACAGCAGTTACCAAGAGACATAAAAGTCATGATAACATCACACCAAAATAGACACGTCTCATATTATGAAGATGCATAATCTCCCTCAAATTAATTTCTAAAGGTACTTAAATTTCCCTCCAACATTTTTTACTTTCTTTTTTGGAACTAGGTTTAAAATTCCCAAAATATTTATTCAGAAACCTGTATTTTAAAAATAGCCATGAGAATGTGGAAAAAGAAAAATCAGAAGGATGACTTGCCCTCCCAAATACTACAGAACTACAATAATTAAAATAGAAGAGTAAATAGCTCCCTAGAAGAGAATATGCTGAGATAAACCAACCAAATCTGAGAATCTGGTACATAGTATATGGTCAGTAGGGGAAAGGGTTCATTGAAGAATGCTGTGATAAATGGCTATTTGGAGAAAGTTAAGCTACAGACCACACCTTTCATCAAAATTAGTTTCCAACGAACTAAAGATATACATGTAAATGAAAAAAAGCTAATACAAAATATAGGCGACTGCTTTTAGAAGGTTGGATTTGAGAAATCCTTACATATAAAACTGTAAATAGAATCTATCAAGAAAATAGTGGTCTACATAAATGCTTTAAAACTCCAGCATAACAATAGCAAGACAACCACAAAAAAGTGAAAAAATGCAGCACATATTGTAGACAGAAGATACTGTCTTTGACACACAAATTACTAGTACAAATTAAGAAAAGGAGAAGCTCTGTGATTGAAAAATAAGCAAATGATGTATATAAATAATTTTCAAAACAACGGACCGACCCAGGTAGGAAGAACTAAGGAATAACTAAGGAAATGCAAATTATAACAATGATATACTATTTTTCGTGTTCAAATTGGCAAAGATTTATAAGATCGGAAAGAAGTGCTTGTACCGTATTCATTGATATCTTTCCTTTGTGCTATTTGATAGCTATCAAAAGCCTTAAAAAATGTAAAAAGACTGACTGATCAATCTTATTTTTAGGAATTTATCCTAAAGAAATAACTAGGCAAATTCACAAAGGACGTTTGTGGTAGCAATGTTTATTAGAGCAAAAACTGGAAAAAAACAAAATACCTATTAACAGGGAAATGGCTAAAGAAAGATGCATCCATGCAATAGAACATTAAACGATCATTTAAAAATGTTATGTAGATAGATTAACGTTAAAATGCCTAGCATATTTGTAAACAAAAAAGTACTGTAAAATACATTTTTGTAAGTGTGGGTACACAAGAAAAAAATTAGCAAAATTCACCAAATATATTTTGCTGAATTTTCTAAAATGTTTTATAAGGCTTTTATTCTGTCAGAACAAGCAATAAGAGTGTTTCCTTTGGGGAAACCTAACCTCTCACATCAGAGGTCCCTTTCTTCAGGAAGCTTCTCCTCAAACTCCTTCCCTCATTCCCAAGATTAGACTTCTCACTGTGAGTTCACTGATAGATGACTGTGTCACCAGTTGTCTAACAAGTCCTGTAAGGGCCCATTTTGGTTGATTTGTCTTGGATCCATAGAGCCTGGCACATACTAGATGCTCAACAAATGCAGTTACATAAACGAATTAATACGTGAATGAATGAATGATTCGTACTTTCATGTTTCTGTGAATCATCAGTGAACTGAATGTAATCAAACCAAACGGAAGCCCCTAGGTCTGATCCTACCCCCCAGAACCAAAGGTGAGTAAAAAAACCTGAGAGTGGGAATCGGATCTGGATTTCTGGGTTTTTTTTGTTTGTTTGTTTGTTTTAAGTTCGGCAGCACTGTGGCCCCAGGCAAGTTATGTCGCCTTGCTGAACCTTGGCTATCTCGTGTTTGAAACGTGGAACACCGCATCTTCCCCCAGAACTGCGTGCCGAGCAAGACAGCACACACCAAGTGTTTAGCAGAGTGGCTGTACTCAGTAGGCACTCACAAATAGAAACGAATTGTGGGGCGGTGAACACCACTCTCCACGCGTTGGTGTCAGGCTTAGATGTCCCCAGTCAGAAGGTCGTGGAGAAGCCTGGCGACACTAGGCAGACGCCCGCCTTTCGCTTGCCGGGCAGACGCAATGGCTAGATCCAAAGGAGGGCTGTAGCCGCTGGGGCTCCACCTCCGAGGCTCCTGCCTTTCACACAGCGCCAAAGCCCGTGCTCCTCCGCCTTCAGTCGGCTGCTCCGCCCTGCCTTTAAGTCCACGGCCCGGGAAGAAGCAAAGCACCAGCGGGTTCCCGGCCGACGAGTGTGGAGGGGTGCGTCGGGCCAGGAGCCAGTCCGCTGCGCCTGCACTGTGCAGACAGACCTGGCGTTGGATGACGGTACTCCCGGGTTTGATTTTGCACTGTTACGCACTAATTGTGAGATGTGGAACAAGTTATCTCACCTCTCCGAATCCATTCTCTCACCTGACAAGTGGAATAATAGGACCTGCCTCGCAGAGAGAGGTGCGACTTCAGTAAGACACTGTAGGGAAATCGCTGGGCGCCTGGCCCTTAGCTGGAAGAGCGCCTGAGAAACCAGGCGCCACCATAGGAGTTCTTTCTGGCTTCGCAATTATGACAGGTTCCTGGTTCCGGCATAGATCCGTGGCTATGACCACGGAAAATGACCATTTTAGCAGTGTCAGAGGACGGGGACAGGAAACCAAGCTGCGAGTCTCCCTATCCACAGAGGGCGTGAGCGGCTAAGGGTCTTAATCAGCATGACTCATGAGTTGATCTGGAGGAAAATGTCGCTACGTGTCTATATGTACACGTGCGTGTGTCCACATAACAGGAGCGTCTGTGGTCGTGGGGGAAAACGCGTGACGGGCAACTCGTAGAGATTCCTTCTCCCACAGGCATCTTCCCCCTTTCTTCTGCGCCCATTCCCGGGCGAAGAGTATCAGCCAAACTAACGGAATCCGGCGCGGCCAAGGAAGGGGTGGGTGCGGGAGGGGCCATTCCGTCCCGGAGCCACCGGTTTGGGGATAATTACTTTTAATGTCAGAAAGATTTAGTTTAATATCATCTCTATTAGGCTGCCGGGAGGGTAATTAAACGGGACGCGTCGCAGCCGGCAAACAGATGGCGTCTGCTTGCTCCGAGGCCGCGGGCAAACAGCGCAAAAGTCAATGCCTCCCGGGTCCCCCATCGGCGCTCTTGGCTCTTCTCCTACTCAGAGCCACACTCCTCACCCTCGGCCCCCTTTCCCAAGCCGCGCCTCGAGCCGGTTCAGCGCCCTAGGACCTCAACCCCAGCCTCACCCCAGTGCAGTCCCTTTGGACGCCACCACTGCCTGGGCGTGGGGGTGGGGGATGGGGCCAGGGGCGAATAGGGATGGGGTGGATTTTCTTGGCTGGGTCCTCTCACCCGGTCGGTCCCCAAGCCCCTGGCACTGCAGAGGCGTCAGCAAATGATTCTGAGCTGAGAGGATTCGTGTGAATGTGTGAGGAGGGCCCTCTGCTCTCAGCCGACTCATTTGTCCCGGAAGGCTGTGGCTTTTTCTGCCTGGGGCCCAAATGTAGAAGTAAGGATGGAGGTCTGCGCATAAACCAGGGCATACGTGCGTGAGGATGTGCTTCTGTCGGGGTGTCCAGTCACCGAGGTGGAAATCTGTGGGAGTCTGGGAGTGTTACATACCAAGTGGATGTCCCAGGATGAGGACATGTTTATGAGAACACTGTGAGGTCAAACTCACTGAAAAGGTCCCCTTGGCGGGAGGCTAGCATCAGAGTTGAGCCTAGGGCCCAGGGTGCTCTCTGAATGCCGGCGTGAGAGTGTGTTCCAAACTTTGCAGAGAGTGGTCACACTTGCGGAGGAGGGAGTGTGTCCAAGTGTGAAGCTAGTTGTGTGTGTGTGGGGGTCGCCCCTACTGCCTCAACCGGGGCGTGCTCTTCTAGTGCTGGCGGCTCAGTAGAGCCATGCCCTTCCTTTCCCCTCCGACCGACCCACTCCAAATCAGGAGGAACTGCCCGTGGAGTGGCCTGCGAAGCTGGGCAGAGGATTCCTGCCTGGTCTAAGTGTGAGTGCTATGACCTTGGCCCAGGACGGGTTTATTTTGCCCTCCTCCTTAACACATTCACTCACAGGAATTCCCTAACCTTCGGGGAGTGGGAGAAAAGGCTGTGGGTCCCAGACCTTTGGGGATGAGGAAAGGAATGAGAGAAGAGAGAGGTGCCTCCACCAGGGGTGGGCGGATTCCCTCTGGTTGGGCTGTGTTAGGTGTCAGGATGCTCCTCCACCCCCTTCTGAGAAAATGAAGTCCTTCACGCATCTGCGGTGACCCCTCGGTTCCCGAGCCCTTGTGGCTCTACCCTTGGCTTTTGCGGGACCCTCGACCCGGAGCGGGGAAATCTCACGATGGCCTGGCCTCAAGAGCAAAGAAGGATACCTGACCCCCCGCCCCCCGCCAAAGCTAGGCAGATTTGTATAGTTTATTTCGTTTTAGGTTTAATATAATTTCCCGAAAATTTTGTCCAATTTTCGGAGCTCTGGGAGCAGGCGCCTGGGGCTCCTACAGGGAATCCGGTGGTGATCGGCGCTCTTCCCCAATCCCTCCGCAAGTGCAGCCGGGGCGTAGACGTACTTGGCCGCGGAACCTCAAGGTGTTGGAAGGTGGGGTGTGGGTCCTGCGCTCCTAGAGAACATATTATCCCTGAAACATTCCCTTACCCTCACCTCACGCGGGAGACCCTCGCGGGGGCTGACCCCTTATTCTCTCTCCTAAACCCATTCACAGACTCCAGCGAGTGGCATTTCCGGAGAGCGAGTGACCAGGTTTTTACGCTATCTTAGACCTTGTCCGGGTCGGAGCGCCCTCGCGCCGGGGCCTGGTCAACTTCCTGGAAGCTCTCTGCCAGGTCCTCCGGCGCATCACCCCCACCAGGGCCTCCCTCCAGCCTCAACCTCTGGGTAGGCTTCTTCCAGGGCTCTCCCGGGGCGTCAGGTTAGGGGCCCATTCGGTCTTCGGTTGGGGGCCCCTCGGTCGCACCTTCCTTCCTGCACCCCCACCCCTGGGCTCGGAAGCGGCGAATAGACTGATGGGGCGCGGCCCAGTAGTTGTGCCAGGCGGGAGGGGCTGCGTCCTAAGCCGCGATTCCCCGGGCCAAGTCTGCGCGCCCAAATTCCCGGAGGCCTGGAGGTTCGAAAGAGCAACGCGGAAACGCATGGTAAAGAGTGGAAAGGAGAACGACCGGAACGCTCATTTTCCTCATTATTTAAACGAATGTTCTTTACTCTGAAGGAGAGAGAGAGAGAAAAGGAGAGAATAAAAGCGAGAGTGACAGAACATTAGGCATTAGAGGGAAAGACAGAATGAAAAGACACAGAGATAGAATCAGAGCTACAGAAACCGAGGGCAACCCGCCCGAGGGCCGCGGCACTAATACCAGATGTTGCCTTTCAAAAAGGAAACAAAATCTGAAACCTGTTACCTCCTCTTCAGAAGGAGCTGTTCCTCAGGGCCGCGACATCAGGGCAGGATGAGAATAAGGCCAAAGTTAAAACTGAAAACTGTCCCCGGGGGCCTCCCCGCAGTGACTTTGTCTCTTGCCTGGAAGGACCGACAGACGGGTGAGCGTCCTGAGTCTAAGAGAATCTGCGAAGACACAGAGGCCACTTTTTACTTTCGTTTAGAAAAAAAAAAGGGGTGGGGGGCTGTTCGTTCACTTACAACAACGACAAAAAGAATCCCACCACCACGAAAAAGAAATCGAGATGCTGGAAAAATGAGGAAAAGAAGGAGCAGAAGGGGCCGAGGGACGCGAAAGACGGGAGGGGAGAGGAAAGGCTCAGGGCGCGAGGGACGCGGCGGGCACCAACAGGAAGCGCAATCTCATTTATCTTCTCTGGGCTTCTCTTTTAAACACAAAAATCTTCATAAACCACACTTACCCTCCAGGATGCCTATCGTATCAGGACTTTTACAATAAAGTAACTGAGCTTTAAAGGCGACAGAAGAAAAAAACCAAAGCAGCCCCCAACTTCGGACTAGGGAGCGCGCTGAAACATAGCAGGAAGAAGACAGGAAAAATCGTCATGGCATTTATGCCTTGAACACCCTCCCTTCCTCACCCCCGCACCCCTGTCCCGCCCACACCCCAACCGCAGTAATTGAATTGTCACCTGCCCCCCATCCCGCCCCAGTGCTCCAGGGCCACTTGGGAAGCTCGGCTTTGCCAAGCGCCCCCGGCCAGTGAGAGCGGCGCAGCCGAGCCGGCGCCCCAGAAGCTGAGGGGTTACACACGTCTACGCAGAGAGGCGCACCGGACACGGTAATTAGGAGCAATTCACACGCTCTCGGGCGCACGGAAACTACAAGTCACGAAATTTTCAACGCTTCTCCTCGCCCACTTTTTTCCACTCCTTCCCTGGCGCGCCCCCTCCCCTCCCGGAGGCACACAGTGGAGCTTTTGGAGTTTCGAATCTTTCGGACACTGTAGAATGCGGGGCTCCCCGGGCGCGGGCCCGGCCAATCAGAGCGCCGTCTGCCTCCTCTGGCCAATGGCAGGAGCCACATTGTTGTCCAATTCTGTCTAATGGAGCCCTAAGGAGCAACAATAGAGCTGGCGAGCTGCTCATTGAGAGTCTGGCAGCGCCGGGCAACTGGGCCCCGGCTGCGCGCAGCGTCCCGCGAGCACCGCGAGGGGACGCGGCACGAAGAGAGTCCGGTCACGGGTTCCAACCAGGCGGCCGGCAGACAGGCCTCCGACCCGGATTTCTGAAGGGAGAGCTGGACTGCGCTGCGTTCTGAGGGGTCCGGAAGTTTGGACATGGTGACTGAAGGAGGGTGACGTAGTCAGATCAGGGGCCCGGGACAAGGCGAAGAGGCCAAGAACGCCAGCGTCGCCAGTGGAGCCGGGAGGCGTGTGCAGCGCCGGCGGAGGAGGAGGATCCCGCAGCCCTAGGCAGGTAGTTGAGGGCCTCAGGGAGAGCAGCGGGTGGCGACCTGGTCTGCCGCCCCTGTTGAGGAGGCCCGGCCCCGTGGGCCTTAGGGACGGCGCGGCCCGAGGGTTCTGGGGGAGGAGGCTCCTAGAGAGGAGGTCTGAGACTCTCGGACGGAAACACGACGACTCTGTCCCGGGCTCTGGCGGGACAGAGAAAGCGGGAAGCAGAGGGAGACCGCGGCGGAAGCGGTGAGCTGGGCCTGCTTGGGCCTTGCGGGGCTGCGGCGCGAGTGGGACTCCAGTGTCCGTTTGTGGCCACTTCGGATGGCGACTCCCCTGGCTCGGTGAGGCCTACTGGGCCATGCGCGTTCTAGGACCCCAACTCTGAGATCAGAACGCAGGAGCCTGGGCTTGAGCGGGGTCCCCAGGGGCCCCAAGGCGGGGAGGGCGTGTCTGAGGACTCTGTCCCTAAACCTGGAGGGGAGGGTAAGGGAGGACAGTGTGAGGTGGTCTTCGAGAAAGATCCCCTTCCCGAATTACCGAACTTTTCTCAGGATACGTCTTCTGCCCCGACTTCTCCAGACTGCGAGGCTAAAAAATTGCACCACAGATTTTACCCAATCCCTTCCCCCAGGCTTTGCTTGTGGGTTTTTTTTTTTTTTTTTTTCTTACACATTCCCCATCTCCCGGGTGCGGCCCCTGGATCCCGGACACCCCCCAGATCAGCTGCTTTTCACTGTTTTCCTTGCCCATGAAGCTCATCTTTGGGCTGCGTTTGCTTATACAGAAAGTTTCTTTAGCTGAATTTTTCTCTTTAATACTTCCCAATCCTAAACTAAATCTACATATATTTTCTCTCCCACTCTCTGGAGGCCCGCACGGTGGAACTTTTTGGGGCTTACATTTTTACGGGTCCCAGAGCCACTGGGCCTAACTTTGGCGGAGTTGTTTCCTCGCTCCCACTCTAGTTCCTAGAGCTATTCTTTCTGCTCCTGGTTTTTCTCTCCAACGCTTCTGTCCCAACCTGCATTAAAAACAAAAAGAAACAAAACTCTGGCCCAACCAGCTCAACTCTGCAACTCCGCCTCTCTCTCCTTCCCTTCACCCTTCAACCTAACTGACCGTTTTGCTCCCGGTTTTCCTGTTTTGCCCTTGGCATCTTCCTAACTTCTGGGCCAAAACTGTCTCTCTAATCCCAGTCCCGTCAAACTAACATTTCTCTAGCCCGTCTCACCCCAATTAGGCTAAACTTTAGAGAATCATCTTTCCTTTTTCAAATGCTCATTACATCCATCCGAATCAGTGACTTTCACACTTTACATGTCACTTTATTTTTTTTCCAGCGGAATCACTGATTCAGACAAAATCTAACCCCCAGCGTGTAAAGCAGGTCTAAGAGCAGCCGTGGGGAGTCTAGGGAGGAGGCGCTCGGGCTCTGGAGGAGGTTCCGACTGCTCCTTTTCCCAGCAATTCGGGCCCCGCTAGCCCAGCCTCTGCTGCCCAAATTTCCCTTTCCAACTTGGGTTCCTCAAGGCTGAGCTTCAGCCTATCGCGCGGTGTGCTCCTCACCGGGGTTTCTTCCCTCTCCCACCTTCTTTCCCATCAGGTCGTGTCATGGAGCTGCGCTCGGAGCTGCCCAGCGTGCCCGGCGCGGCGACGGCGGCAGCGGCTACAGCGACGGGGCCGCCTGTGGCGTCGGTGGCGTCGGTGGCGGCGGCCGCGGCGGCCGCCGCATCACTACCGGTGAGCGTGGCAGGCGGCTTGCTGCGGGGGCCGCCGCTGTTGCTGCGGGCAGCCGAGAAGTACCCGCGGACCCCCAAGTGCGCACGCTGCCGCAATCATGGCGTGGTGTCTGCACTCAAGGGCCACAAACGCTACTGTCGCTGGAAGGACTGCCTGTGCGCCAAGTGCACGCTCATCGCGGAGCGCCAGCGTGTCATGGCGGCGCAGGTGGCGCTGCGCAGGCAGCAGGCGCAGGAAGAGAACGAGGCGCGCGAGCTGCAGCTGCTCTACGGCACTGCCGAGGGGCTGGCGCTGGCCGCCGCCAACGGCATCATCCCCCCGAGGCCCGCCTACGAGGTCTTCGGTTCAGTGTGCACCGCCGACGGCGGGGGACCTGGAGCGGGAGCGCCCGCGGGGACTGGAGGCGGAGCCGCGGGCGCAGGGGGCGCAGGTGAGAGCGCGGCCAGGCCGCAGGATCGCAGCTCTGGGGTACGCGGCCCAGGAACTTGTCACTGTTCAGAAAGAGTAGAACCCCGGTGTCCAGTCGCCCCGACTACTAGGGTTCACCGCTCGCCTAGCGTCGGGTATGGGGCGTGGGTACAGAAACTCTGTTCTTCCGCTTCTGAAGCATTTGCACTTCACCCCTTTTTCCCGCTGTTACCCAAACTCAGGCAAGTCCCTGCTTCCTCCATTTGTCTTCTCCCCAGGTGGAAACCTGCGCATCTCATCTTCCTTCGCTCTGCGCTTCTCCACAGGCCCCTTCCCTCGGCTACTTCCCAACTCTGTTAAGAAATCCAACTTCCTTTAACCGACCCCCACCCCACTGCTTTCCCTAGGTATTAAGAAACCCTCGTTTCTTTTCCCCATGTAATCCCCCTTCTCGCGTTCCTAACGCCCTCTGGACAACCGCTTCCTTCGCTCTCCCTCCTTCTAGCTTCTTCCGCACCTCCCCGGTTTCTCTGGGTCTGCTTTCCTTTGCCTTTTACTCTTCGCTGCCTGGCCCCACCCTCTTTTTCTGGACCCCGGTGGCTTTTGCTGGGGAGGGAGGAAATTAGGCCAGGACCATTGAGGGGAAGGAGGGATCAGCTCTAAGCTTGGGAGAGAAGAACTTATTAGGTCTCAATTTTGGAAAGAGTGGATTAGAATTAGGGGTTCTACTTCTGCCTGTAGAGAAGCTTAGGACCTCCTAGATAACTAAGGCCCCTTTCCTTACAGGCTGCGCTGCCCAGGGCAGGCATCTTCTATACAGTGGGCTCTTCTTTACAGCTTTATATTGCCTCCCGTTTGAACCCTGGACCAGGCCACTTCTCCAGGGCAGCGCAGGACTGGAAAGGAAGTTAAGGGGGGAGGTGTTGGAGCACAGATGTGGGAAGAGCAGGCTTGAACATCGACTTTACTGGGCCCGAGGGGGGATTCTGGGTACAGAAAGAGAGGGAGCCCTGGGGTCAAGGAAAGAGAGACAGGGCTGTAGGGGCTCTGAGCGGAAGGAATGCTAGAGCAAAAAAGGAAGAGGGGCACTGGAGCCTAGTGAATAAGGGCTGTGGGGCTGAGGGAGAGGAAACTAAGATCCAAAGGGCTGAGGTGCTGTGAGTGTGGTCTTCTAGCTAACCGCTCCTCACGACACGTTTTCTCCCCTCCCAGAGGCCAAGTTGCAGAAGTTTGACCTGTTTCCTAAAACGCTGCTTCAGGCAGGCCGCCCAGGCAGCCCGCAGCCACCGCCGGTGAAGCCCTTATCACCCGATGGCGCAGACTCGGGGCCCGGAACGTCGTCCCCGGAGGTGCGGCCCGGCTCAGGCTCGGAGAACGGCGACGGCGAATCCTTTTCTGGTTCGCCCCTAGCTCGGGCCTCCAAAGAGGCAGGTGGCAGCTGCCCAGGCAGTGCTGGCCCTGGCGGCGGCGAGGACGACAGCCCGGGCTCCGCTAGCCCTCTGGGCTCTGAATCAGGTTCAGAGGCCGACAAAGAAGAGGGTGAGGCCGCGCCGGCGCCCGGGCTGGGCGGAGGCCCGGGTCCACGGCAGCGGACGCCGCTGGACATCTTGACCCGCGTCTTCCCAGGCCACCGGCGAGGCGTCCTGGAGCTGGTGTTGCAGGGCTGCGGCGGCGACGTGGTGCAGGCCATAGAGCAGGTGCTGAACCACCACCGCGGGGGCCTGGCGGCCGGCCTGGGCCCTGCGGCGCCCCCAGATAAGGTCGCTGTGGGTGCCGCAGCAGCTGCAGACGACGCGTGGCCGGGCCGTGTCGACGCCTCCGCCGCCGGAGGGCCCGGGCTGCCTGCGCCGCTGCAGGCCGGGCCCGCCGCACCGCCGCACCACAGACCCTTGCTGGCGAGCGCCATGGCGCCTGGGGCGCTGGGCTCCTTGAGCAGCCGTTCCGCCTTCTCGCCGCTGCAGCCGAACGCCAGTCACTTCGGTGCGGACGCGGGCGCCTACCCGCTGGGCGCGCCGCTCGGCCTCAGCCCGCTGCGCCTGGCCTACTCGGCGGCGGCGGCGCACAGCCGCGGTCTGGCCTTCATGGCGCCCTACTCTACCGCCGGCCTGGTGCCCACGCTCGGCTTCCGCCCGCCCATGGACTACGCCTTCAGCGATCTCATGCGCGACCGCTCCGCCGCCGCTGCGGCAGCTGTGCACAAGGAGCCGACCTACGGCGGCGGCCTGTACGGGCCTATGGTCAACGGTGCTCCGGAGAAGCAGTAGGGCGAGGGGCCTGGCAGCTGGCCGGTCCCCAAACAGAAACCCTAGTCCTGTCCCCGCGAGTCGCCTACCCCTCTTCGCCCAGCGCGGCTTCTGCGCCCTGGCTGGGGTCCTCTCACTCCAAGGTGGTTTTGGGGTTTTGTTCTGGAGGTGGATGGGGAAGGCTGAGCAAAGGGGGAGCAGCTACGGACAGGTGCAGGTGTTCTCGGAGTGGGTGCGCCACCTGGGTCCTCATCTTCCACCCAAAGAGGCTTGACCGCTCTTCAAGCCTCCGCAGCCCCCTTTCCAAAAGGCCGGGAATTTAGGAGAATTAAGAGGCTGCGACAGCAGCGCAGGGTCCTGCGGCTCCTTAGCTGTGCTCATCCGGTTCTCGGTGGATGGCGGGATAATCTGAGAGTCTTTTCTGTGTCTCCCCAGCCCCTACTTTAAAAAAATTTAAATGTTCACTCTAACAAATATAAATTTAGGATGTATAAATCTCTTGGCACTGAGTTGAGCCTTTGGGACACACGTATATATCGATACAATTGTAAAAAAAAAAAAAAAAAGGAAATGAGTTCTAAGGTGCACTTTCCTTGTTGCGGTATTTGTCGCTCTCTTTGTTGCTTATGCCGATAAGCATGGGTTTCCTTGGTGCAGTGTGTTTTTATATATGTATAAATCTATATATAATCTATACATATATATATACAAGCCAGTGTAAAATATTATAAAATGGAATTCTAAGTTATTAATTGTAATCTGTAGGTGACCTCGGTATTAACGTAAAAAACATTCAAAAACAAGCAAAAAAAGGACAAAATGGAAAAAAATTAGACTGCGCGCATTGTACTTATCAGGTTTATAGATTAAATATATTGGAAACTCGGGACGAATCCTGCCCACCTGCCCCTCTTGCCTGCGGCTGGTCTGTCCCTAAGGAGCCGTGAAGGTGCGCGCTGAAGCAGGAACAGAGCGACGTGTGACTGAGCCAGAACCGCCCGCTCGCGGGCCCATCCTAGCCTCCCGGGACTCGCCAAACGCCCTGACTGAAGGGCCGGCAGCGGAAAACGCTGCTGCAGAGCAGCACTTCGTGCTTTCCTTTGCATAGATATGAGCTAGAAATAAATGTTATTTTCTAAGAAAACAATGCGGAATCCCGTCCCGCTCCTCGAGAAGTGGGGGGTGGGAAGGCACGGGGGGTAAGGTCTTGATTTCCCGCTCAGGCCGCGGTGTTAAGGAGATGCGTGACCGAGGTCCCGCGAGAGCTGCGACCCTCGGGGAGACTGGGAGAGAAAACTTCCTGTGGTACCCGGGAGGACGTATCCTACCAGAGTGGGGCGGGGCTCACAACCTCCGAAGGACCCGCGACCGCTGCGCAGCGAGAACCAGCGTGTACCCCAGCTTGGGCGTGCAGGCTGCTGAGGGGTCGCCTTGCCAGGGCTCTTAGTTTTTAGATCGCGGGCCCGAGCCTTCACAGGGATCTTGCAAGAATGGGGCCCAGTTCCCGCCCTTTTCTGGGTGCAGATTTGGGTATAGCTCAGGTCGCACACATTGCGCGCCCCATTTCAGAGTTGGAACCACAGGCAGCGGAGGCCAAGGCTGAGCAGAGTGACTGCTACCATTCTCCTGACAAGGGCTACTGCCTGGGAGTTACGGGGTCGTGAGGGTTGGGAGTGGCAGGCTGCCTTCCTTGAAGCAGTGTAATACGGGAGAGTGGCCGCGAGGACGCGACTTCGAGCTAGACCTCGTCTCTCACCCTTTTCACCTTCGCTCCTCACGTCGAGCTGAGCAAATTAACCGCTCCTTGGCCGACCCTCTCCTTCAACCTCCAGTCCCTCTCTCCCGCTCCCCGCAGAGTGACTCCCCAGCTCCAGGAAAAGAGTGACTCCTCCCCTCGGCTGGGTCCGGCGATATCCCAAGGTAAACTTCTGCGGCCGGCTCTAGTTCCGCCAGGCAGTGAAACTTAATAGCAGGACAAGAAAACCGTTTAATAAAGAAGGGCTTTAATGGGGAACTAATTTGATTGAGTTGCCTAATTCCACTTTAATTGGAAAGGAGGTTTGGCTGTCTGGTGAAGAAGTACGAGCGCGAAGAGATGAAAGTGGGGGAGAAGGACCCAGAGAAGAAAGATGCCGGCAAGAGCCGTGGACGAAAAGGGGAGTAAAAAGGAGAAAAAAGAGGGAGAGAGGAGAGAGAAGAGTTAGAAAAAAAAGAGGAAGGCGGGGGGGGGGGGTGGGTAGGGGGAAGCGTGCGGGAGCTTCTGAGAGTGTAAACTTTCTTGCCCTCGGCCGCCGCGCCCGCTAAAGCCCCCGTGCGCTCCCCCTACTCCAGGCCTTGGAGCCTCCCAGCCTCGCTTCGCAGGGCGGTTCCGGCCGCCTCTTCTCCGTCCTCTGCCCCACCGCACCCAAGGTGGAGCTGAGAACGCCCTGGGTCTGTTGGTTTCGGGAAGGACCTACGCTGGATCCCCTGAGGCTTCTCGGTTCCCGGCGGTCCTCTTGCCAACCGGAGAGGGCGGCAGTGGACCCGCGTTACTCATTCCCAAGAACATCTGGAGCGTCACAGACTTCAAGACTATTATATTAGTTAATCCTCACAGCAAACCAGGGTGGATCTAGAGAATTGCTTATTACCGGCCGCATTTTACAGGAGAGGAAACTGAGGGCCATCTGGTCCAGGGACTTGTCCAACCTTCCGGGACCCTGGATCTCCTCGCCTCTCCACCGCCCGGGTGGGTCTTCCTCTCCTCTCACGATGCGGGGTCTGCTAGCCAAGAGTGGGCGGTTTGCGGAAACTCCCCTTCCATGAACACTGGCGGCCCAGAGAGAAGCGGCATGCCGGGAGCGCCCAGGCCTCAGCTCCAGGCTGTCAGCACCTTCGGGTAGCGCTCAGGAAGGCTTCGTAAGCGGTGGGGGTTCCAGGAGTGGGGTAGTGGGTCACCCGAGGTCCTCCCTTACCGGGCACAGAGCGTCTCCACCGCCCAGGCCCCGCTGTGGAAGCACAGGTCGGTCAGTCACAGCCCTTGGCGCCTGGGAACGTCCTGTGCCCACTACACTCTCCTGCCCCGCTGCCCATTGCACAGTCAGGAACAGGAAGGCTCAGAGACCCGCAATGACTCGCCTGGGGTCGCACACCCAGGCCCCAAGGAGCCAGAATCTGAACCCCGGACTCTCTGGCCTGCTCTCTGGCCTGGTGTTAGGGGCAGGGGGGCGAGTGAGACTCTTCTTCTGGGAGCTTCCGCAGCCGGCAGGAGAGGACTGCAGGCTGAACCCCGCTGGGATTAGCGCCAGGGAGGAGTGTGGGGTAACCTGGTTGCAGGCGGCGCTCGCACCCTCGAAGGAGAGGTCAACTGCGGCAGCGTTACCTCTTTTCCTCTTGGGAGAAAGGGAAGCTGGAGTCCCCTTCCTGACCGCAATTGTCCACGTTTATTCCCGAACGCTTCCCGAAGCAAGCTGGAGCTGACGCGGCCTGGGCACTGGGAGGATGCGAACCCAGGCCGCCGCGGGGAGCCCGGACTGGTAGGGGAGACAGACTTGAAGTAGAAGGCGTCCTTTCCCTTTCCGCGCCCCACCCCACTGCACAGCAGCAGCAGCAGCGACACACTACTGAGTACCTACTGTGTGCCAAGTCCTGTACCAACCATATTCCCCAGAGATATCCTGCTCAGTGGGCAAGAAAGAGCCTAGAGATGGGAGTCCAGGCTCAGGCTCTGGCTGGGTAATTCATTCTCTGATTACTTCAGTTAGCAAATATTTGCAAAGCACTTACTGTATGCCAGGCCCAGTTCTAGGACCCTGGGATACTGAAGTGCACACAGGGAGGTCTGGCCAGGGAAAGGCCACTTCTGCAAGGCACTCTGCCTCAATTAAATGGTGGAAGAATGGGGTCTGTCTCTCTGGGTACTGCAAGGAGTAAATGAAATAATATGCACAAGCTCTCAGCTCAATGCTTGCTCACTAGGTGTTCACTATTACAATTCTCATATTTTTTGGTGTGGATGTTGTGGTCCCATCCAACAAAGGAGTCAACAGCTCAAAGGGATCCAGTGATGGGATCAAATGGGACTTCTGGGCCCTCTAAAGTGTCACAGATTATAGAAGACATCCCGCCCAGGGCAAGGGGCCATACAGACAGGTGGGAGAGTGTGATTCTGTAAATGCCTCAGAGGAAGTAAGCCAAGTCCTGAGGGGGTTCGTGAGGGGCAGCATTGTGATCTGTGGTAGGAAGTTGGGGAGGCAGTCAGGGGTGCCGCTGGACTAGCAGATGGAAAGGAAGGAGGTGCGGACAGTCTGGTGAGGTTGCACAGAGTCGGAGGTTAGATCACCGAGAACCCTGAGTGCCAGAAAATAGGCCAGGACCTCAGTACTGGGAGTTGTTGACAATAAGACCTGGTAAGATTTGCATCTGTATTTGCTAGATTATTTATAAACAGGCCCAACCTCTCTTTCAGGAGCCATGACAAATGATAGTGCCAAAAAGGAATCAGTGGAAATAGGGAGAGGGAGAGAAGAGGGCCCCTTCAAGAACTGCTAGGAGCCAAACTACCCACTGCTGATACAGTGTGGGGAGTAAGGGAGGAAGAGGGCTGATTCCCACCTGGAGCAGAGACAAGATTGGAGGGTGGTTAAAAAAAAAAAAAAGCTTCGTGTTTGACTTCAGAGTTTGAGGCACTGGCAGGTCTTCTCAGCATGGACACCATATGGTAAAAAAGAGTCAGCTGTTATCTTGGGAAGAATGAGGTGGCCCAGCTCCCTGTCCCCAGAAGACACAGGACTCCCTTAGTGGAGGCTATGGGCCTGGGAAAGTGTTGAGACCCTCTCACCATGTCTCTTGGTGCCAAGAGGACTGGCCTCTTAAAATCATTCTCTTAAAATTTTACACCCTGTTAAGGTCATTGTTCTGAGAGAGACAGCCTGTCCTTGAGTTAATTGTGACACCAAATCCTAAATGTCAGGGCTCCCTACTTCTAAAAGTCCGTTTCAACCTGTCTCTGCTCTCTGCTCCCTGAAGCTGTAGTGTCAGCTGCTTTTCTCCCCTCTCCCCATCTGTTCACTCCTGCCTCCCCACACTGTGCTCCTCAGACCTACATAACAGACCGTGCCTTGCTCATGCAGGTCCCCTCTGCCTGGAATGCTCTCCTCTTTTTCCTCTTCTTTAAGGATTCTCCTCACCTTCCCTAGGGTCCAGCTTCACAGGTGGATTTGCTGTGAACCAATGAAGCTTAAACTTCAGGGCTGCCCACCTGGTATGTTCCTCTCAAGGTCTTGCACTTTGCGCACACAGTCAAGTGGTTTCTATCCTAAAACTTCAGGCCCCGTTAAAAACTGCATCTGCCATTGCCCAGTTTAGCTGTACCCTTCTGGCTGCCTGTTCCTGTTAACTATTGTTGCATGACAAATGACCCCAAAATGTAGTGGTTAAAGCCATAAACCATTTTATTGTATCATTTGTGGGCCAGGAATTTGGGTAGAACTTGGCTGCATCATCTTTTGTTTCATATATCGTTGACCAAGATCTCTTTGTGATATTCAGCTGGTAGATGTGTTGGTCTGGAGACCCCAAGACAGGTTCAGTCACACATCTGATTCCTTGGAATGGATGGCTGGAAGGCCGGGCTCAGCTGGACAGTTGATTGGAGCACTTATATGTAGTCCTTCCATCATGGTATCCTCAAGATATCAGACCTCTTACATGTTGACTCAGGGTTCCAAGGCAGATGTCCCAGAGAGCAAAGTGGAATCTACATGGCCTTTTATGACCTAATCTCAGAGATCAGAGAATGTGGCAAGAGTCAATTATTTGTAAGTGATTGACAAACAAGTCATGCTGACTTAAAAAGGAGGAATTTTCTCCTTTTTTCTTCTTCATAATGACAATGATCATAATCATAGACATTTACAGCTAAAATGTCCAGTGTATCTCCGGAAGAGTCGGAGCCAGGTGCTCAAACACCACCAGCTGAAGTGCTTTTCTCTGTCTCTTAGATCAGCTGTGCTCTATGTTGTCTTCATGTCAGGCAAACTGTCTCCAAATGAAGTGCACATGGGTATCATTGGCCTCAGGCTTGCATTCTGCTTTCTCTCCCAGTAGTTAAACAAACCTCTTGGAACTGACTCATTGGCTAGACTTTTGTCATCTTTCCATCCCAGA